GCACCCGCCCCGCCCGCCGGGGCCGAAGCAGGGGCCGCCTCAGGAACGGGCGGCGCGGGCTCCGTCCTGGGCCTCACGGCGGCTTGATGCACGCGGGCCCGCAGCCCCCGAACTTTCCCCATCTTCTCCGGGGAGCCGGGCAGACTCTCGCGGAAGTGGGAGCCGGTTCCTCGCGCGCACCGCCGGGCGGAAACAGGAGCCGCCGCGTCGGGGTTCCGCGCTTCGCCGGCCGGAAGTGGCTCCCGGCGCGCGTGCGCAGTATGGCCGCCCGCGGCAAGGCGGTGCGTGTGGTCGGCAGGCACGTAGATGTGGGGAGCTCGTGGCCTTTGTCCTTGGCGAAAGGCCGCGCGATCAGGAGAAAGAGCAGGGCTCGGGAGGAGCGGCGTTTGCGGCAGGCCGGGGTGGCCCGCGGTGGGGCTGTCCCCGTCCCTCCTCGCAGTCTCTTCCAGGCCACGGTTGCATGTGGCCTTCGGCCCGGTCTTTGCAATCAGGTTGCTCAGCCCCTTCGGTGGGGACAGGGGAGGGGGACTGCCATGATCTGTGGCACATACCCGGCCCCCTTTTGCGCAGTCTCCTCCCTGCTCACCCACCTCGGTGCCTCCAGCCAGGTGCTTTGGGGAACACAGGCCAAGGGTATGCAGTGATTCCCACGGTCCCCTTGGGAACAAGGGGGTGAAAAGCAAAACAGAACCCTCCTTGGCTGGGCCACAGGGAAGGCTGCTGAGTCTAGGCCCAGCCGGACAGGGCCAGCCCCGAGCTCTCCCTATGCTGGCGAAGGTGCTGGACAACAGGACAGCTCTGTCCAGAACCAACAGGGACAGGCGCTCGGGAGAGGAGCAGAGGGGTCCAGCTCTGATCAGGAGCAGGGGAGGGAGAAGGCTCCAGCAGGATCATGGCCAAGAGCAGGACCGGGGGCAATCAGTTTGTAGAAGGGTGGCTTTTGGGGTGAGGACTGTTTTTTCAGGCAGAGTCTTGCTGTGAAGTCCAGGCTGGCTTCAAACTCAGGGCAGTCTTCCTGATGCAGCGTATTGAGTGCTGGGACTGCCGAAACATCCTTTGAAAAGAGTTAGTACGTACATGACAGGATGGGGAGGGAAATCCTCACCACCTAGGTCCCAGCCTAGGGTCCTAGGTCCCAGCCTGGGCTGAAAATTAAACAGTTATAAACGGGAAAAGCAGACATGGCCACAAGGTTTATGTGGCCTGAGAGCCTCTCAGGAGTGAGACCTAAAGACCAGGCAAAGCCCTGTCTGAATAGAAGTCTCTGGCCCACAGGGGAGGCGGCAGTGGAAAACTAAGTCTCGTGGGCAGGCCGGGGCTACTGCAACGTTTTCAGCATGCCTGGTGACGGTTCTCTGCCCACCGCGCCTCCAGAGAAGAACAGCTCCTCTCTCCTGGCCAGGTGGGCAGGTGGGGCGACTGTCTTGGAGGAGAGGGAGGCGAGACCACCCTCCTGGACCTGCTGCCTCCCGAGGGCCTGTGTGTGAGGAATCCACCAGACTGCGGCTCCGAGGCCGACGGACACGCAACGTCTTCCTTCTCCAGCCCCTGCTTGCCTCCTGCTCCCAACTGTGATCACTGGCTTCCCATCGACTCTCTACAGACTTCTATATGAAAACAATTTTCTCCAGGAGAACGTGTTTGTCTCTGGTGACACGGGTCAGAGCGCTGCACTGCCCTGCAGTTCCTTTTCTCCATGAAACGGAGATTTGAAGTTTCACACACTACGGGTGTGGCGTGGTCCCGTCAGAGCCACATCGCTGTCCCCAGGCTCCTGCTGTGACAGTGTGGTGTCCCCTTAACACATAGCAGCTTTCTAAAGAGCGGTCTCCGGACAGACGTCAGATGTCTGGCGACTGATATTTATGAGATCTGAGCTAAAAGCAGGGTGAATGTTTAAATGTTAAAAACTTGAAATCCTCTGCCTCACTGTAAACACACTCAGGCCATCATCCTTGCTATTTTCTGCAGCAGCGCTGAGGGTCTTTCCTGAGTGTGTTTCTTCCCTCTGTCCCGGCAGCCTCGATGTCCTGAATCTATTCAAAATGTTCCCCTTCCCTGGTCTTTTTCACTCTGGGGAGGAACCGGAAGCCACAGGGTGCCAGATCCGGTGAATACGGTGGATGAGGACACAGCGTCGCGTTGAATGAGCTCCCTGTCTGCTGGATGGCACTTGACAGCTATGCTTCAGACCTGCGGTGGTCCCCAAGGGTCATGTGTTGGGCGGGGGCCTGGCTGGGTGCCGGTCTGTGGAGCGTGGCCCGGGGGTGGCTCTGCTCTCCCGGCTCCCACCCTCTCCCTGCTTCCTGGTTGCCACGCTGTGAGCGGCTGCCCTCCGTCGAGGCCCTTCCACCAGGACTGTCTACATTTAGCTGGGTGAACGCGGCCTGAGCCTTCTGGAACCGTGAGCCAAACCTCTCCTCCCTGGTTGCAGGTGACGGTACTTTGACTGACGCAGCAACAGCCTTCGCTGGGTTTTCTACCACACCTCAGAGAGACACTCAGGAAAGAGGACCCCAGAGCTGCCTCGGAAAGCGACCAGAGGGTGGGAGGAGTGTGTTTGAAGCAAGGGGAGGACTTTGAGAGGGACTCATGGCCACGTAGTTTTTCCTGCAGTTGTTTTTAAGTTTAAACATTGGCCGTGCGTTTTGATCAGCCCTCATCTGGCAAGTCCAGGCCTGCCGGTGCCTGGCTGTGTGGTGGACAGACATGGAGGCTCTGGCAGGCCAGGAGCTGTGCTGGGCACGAGGCTAAAGATAGCAGCCAGCCGTGAACCAGGACCCGGGACCCTCATGGCCTCGCCCCCTCAGAGCTGCTGCTGTGGGGGTCAGGGACAGCACTTTGATCTGAAGCAGCCCTGTCCAGCAAGTGATCTGGGTCCTGCCTGTCAGGACCAATGCGCAGGTGTGTGAGGCCCAAGGACAGCAGTGGTTACTGCCCTGTGAGCCGGTGCTCTCCTGGCTGTGTCCTGAGCTGCCCCAGCCAGTGTCACAGGCCGGCCCTGGCCAGGCCATTGACTTTGGATTTCCCCTCTGACTACTCCTGTCACCAGAGGGCGCTCTTCCCCCTGTGCTGCCAGGAGCCTGCGGTGTTTTTGGGATTCTGGCAGTGGAGAGTGGGGCTGCCTTGAAGGAGGACCCCTTGGCAGGTGCCGGGTCTGTGCTTGCTTCTGAGGCCATTGTGTCTGGCTCGGCCTGGACAGATATCCATCCACATGCCCAGCATCTCTCCACTGTGGCCGTGGGATGCCCGCCACCCCCTCCCTGACATGCAGCTAGTGCCCAGGATCCCTGCTCTGCCTGCACCCCTAGAACTCAGTGAGGGCATGTGCCTTCCGAGCCTCAGTTTCTCCCTCTCTACCATGAGTTCAGTGCCCAGGGTGGGTGAGGAGGGCTGCGGTGAGGTTGAAGCCATAGTGTCAGTATGGGCACCCAAACACGGTCCCTGAACCGCAGGCCCAGGTTCTGCACTACCTGTGCCCAAGGGGCGAGGCCCTGAGTTCCCCCCCATGCTGCTGCTCCGAGTCCCTCCAGTGTGATAGGGTGGGAGTCCCCAGAGGCTTCTTTCCAGGGCCTTGGTGTCCTGAACAAGACTGGGGCAAGACACAGAAAAAGCAGTGAGGCCAGCTGGGCGTGGCCGCCGGGAGCTGGAGGCCAGCCTGGGCCACCTAGTGAGACCCTATGAGAAACCATAGAACAAAAAACAAAAGCCGAAACAAAGAAGGAAGGAAGAAAAGGCCACCGTGAGGGTGTCCATTTACTGAAGGTGGAGAAAAGGCCCACTCCACTTAGGCGGGCGAAAAGGCTCACAGCGCCCGGGCACCAGAGAACAGTGGGTCTTCAGTATCCAAAACACCTGGGTTGGCCTCCACCCCACACCAGCGGGCACTAGGGCAGTTATCCTGTCAAAAGCTCATGTGGCCTCCGGCCAGGTGTAAATGCAGGCCAACCACGGCGCCTTTGACGCTGAAGCCTGTCCAACGCCCGGCTCCCTGCTGGCTCTGTGTGCATGGCTGGAGGTCTCAGTCCTGGAGCTGTGCTGTCCCCATAGTGCACGGGTCACGGCTGTGAGGAACGGCCTGCTCAACCTGTTAGCCCTGGGGTCTACGACCTTGGATGCTTCCCGCCCGGCTGCTGTCCACATTGCCTGGCCCTGACCTCCCACCTCCTGCACACAGGAAGGAGCAGGTCCCATCCTGGAGCTAGCGATTCGGGACACTGAGGCACACTGCCCGGCCAGGCCTGGCTCTGGACGACGCCTCGGTCACTCCCCGAAGCGCAGTGCTAAGGTGAGCGCCCCCTGCTCCAGGGGACACTGTGTCCTTAGAGTGGCCACCTCCCAACCCCACCGTGACCGAGACCTCTCAGCTGCAGTGAGGGACGCTGGGTGTGAGGGAGGCTTCTGTGGTGCCTCTGTCCTCCGGGCAGCTCCCCAGCAGGACAAGCGCCACCTCCCCAGCACTGTGTCCTCCCCTCCTGGGCACCTTCCTACCCGGGGTGCTGCGGTGAGGTTCCCCCTTTTGCAAACACGTGGGGTGAAAACCGTGTGCAACTCCTTTCTGAGGCAATGGGAGGAAGTGGCCGTGGCAGGAGTGGTTACTCAAGGCGGTTTCCGCTGGCTGCGGGCGGCGGCTACTGCAGACCCTGGAGGAAACAGAAAACGGGTTCAAGAACATGAGACCTCTCCCCCTCTCGCCCTCCCCTTCAACCCTCCATCTCCCTCCCTCCCGGAGGGGTACTAAACCCAGCACCTTCACTCTCGGCTGTGCCCCCAGCCCTGCATTTCTGACTGACTCCTAATTTATGGACAGGGTCTCCATAAGTCACTATGTTGCCCAGGATGAAGTCAAACTTGTGATCCTCCTGCCTCAGCCTCCCTCGGTGCTAGGATCACAGGCCGGCACCCGCACGCCCTCCTAAATGCTGAAAGCTCTGTGGGCCCACCCCCAGAGATGCAGCAGGGCAGGGGCCTCTCTTGCAGGGTCTGCACGCCCAGCTTTGGCTCTGACTTGGAATTATCATCCTCCTTCTCCTCCTGATGGGCAGCCACACCTTCCCAGGCCCTGCCCTGAGTCCGTCTCTGCGTGTGGGCGGGGTCACGCTGACATCAGAGTAACTGTCCCCTGCTCAAGGCCCACTGGGGCTCAGCCTCACTCTGGAACCACCCGCCTCCCTATGCTCTGGCCCAGCCACCTCCCTGGACATTGGTGCCCACCTCACCTCACCTAGGCCACCAGGGAGCCTCCCTGTGGGTCACCTGACCTCCGGAAGCAGATCTGTCAGTGAGTCACACGGCACGGGCATGGGCCCACTCGTGCTGGGCACTCACCACTTGGCCCAGCCCCTGTGTTATGTCCAGTGCAGACAGCTCACCACACCGTGTCACGCCATGCCATGTCACGCCAAGCCATGTCCCTCCAGGCCATGTCACGCCACGGCACTGCTCTGCTGAAATGCAGCCCCCAGCCATCCTAAACCCAGAGCCAGTAAGAATTTGTAAAAGGCAAAGTTTAGTATAAGAAGAGATGGTTTGCTTGGGGAGAAAAGCTGGGAAAGAAAGGGGAGAGAGAGCCACTGTGAGGTGAAGGGGGTTTCATAGCTCAAAGCCACAAGCTCCTACCCCTGGCGCCTTCTTCTGGGGACTCAGGACCAGGGTCCCCGTGCCGGGCGGGTGGGTGTCCACATCCCACCGAGGGCTGTCTTTCCCAGGCTTGTCTACCTGTGTCCTTTCTGGCTGTTTGCTTTTCTCCTGTCCCTTTGCAATGGATGAGTGAGTGGGGAGGGGTCACGGGGAGGCGGCTCACTTGATTGAGTACGGGGCACGCATGCACGTGTGTACACTGGTGTTAAATGAGAACATACACGCACGTGTATATGGGTCTCACACATTACGCAAGAGTCTTCGGTGGCTGTCTCTTGCCCTCGCCCTCTGTCATGGGGAGGGAGCTGGCTTTCCTGCTCTTTCTTTTCTGGCTTCCCAGTGTTGATGCCTGGGCCAAGTTCACATCTCTGGAAGAGCGAGGGATCATTTAATTCCTACCCATGGCATGCAGAGAAACCTGTCCCTTTTTTTAGGGCAGAAAAACCATTCTTCCAGGCTCAAAAGGTAAAAGCAGAAAATTAAATGGGAGCCAGGCGTGATGGTACATACGTGTCATCCCAGCACTCTGGAGGCTGGGGCAGGAGGTCAGTGTGAGTTCGAGGCCAGCCTGGGCTACAAAGGGAGCTCAGGTTCAGCCTGAACTGTACAGTGAGGCCCTGTCTCAAAAAGGAAAATAAAAAATGGAAAGATTCTCTGTCAGTCCAACTATCGAGGTTCCACTTGATATAATTATTGATATCCTTGTAGAGCAGCTGTGATTCAAAACATTTATTTATTCATTCATTCATTCATTTAGAGTCAGGGTCTCACTACATAGTTCAGGCTGGCCTTGAACTCACTAAGTAACCCAGGCGATCCTCTGGCCTCAGCCTCCCCAGGGTGCACCCAGCAAGCTGAGTCTCCTTCACCTTTTTGTGTCTACACGTCTGCATCCTCTCCAGACTCAGACCAGAGGATGGGGAGACAGCAGGACAGCAGGCGCCCCCATCCCCGTGTCTCTGCAGCTTGCAGCCCTTCTCAGACCCCACGGCTAAGCTCCATCTAACATGGTCTCCCGCCCCCAGCCAGCCAGAGAGGGGTCCGGAAACGCCACAGGGACCAGAAACTGCGGAGGGCGGTGTGCATCTGTCCCGAGGGGGCAGCGAGGCCCTCCGTGGGCCTCCTCACGCCTTCCGCGCCCTCAGCGGCACCAGTGGCCTCCACACTGCAAGGAAGTGGGCTCCTTAAGTGCCCCGGAGAGCAGTGACCTGCTCCAAGGCAAGCAGAGGCCTCCCGGTGGGTGGGGCCTGGTGAGGCCAGGGCCAAGGTCGGGCTAAGTCTGACTTGGGGAGGCCCCTGTGCCGGTCAGCCCGGCCTTGGTAGAGGCGGGAAGTGTCAGAGTGAAGGGCAGGCCTGGCCTTCCCAGCAGGCAGATGAGGCGTAACTTCCTCTTCCCTCTCTGCCCCCAGTAGAGCTGTTCTGTTTTGAGTTGGGAGGTGGCTGTGTTGCCCAGGCTGGTCTCAAGCTCCTAGACCTGAGATCCTCCTGCCTCAGCCCCCGAAGTCCTGGGATTACAGCCCCATGCTGTGTGTGACCCTTCTGTTATTCTGACCGTGTCAGTGTTGCCCACTCCTGAGTCAAACCAGCAAACAATGATTCCGTTTTCTTCTTCCTACAGCTTTCTGGCTTTCCCCTCCCAGTTGATCATTGCCTCACTTTTACCCTTGCTCCATTTCCTCTGGCCTAGAGCCGCACCTTCCTGCCTCCCACGAGTTTGGGAAACTCCTCTCAGAGGGACTGTCCACGACCAAGCCTGTGGGTGAGTCTGTGGACAGAGGGAGCCGGGCGGGACGCACTGGGGTTAGGGAGCAGTGCCCGGGTCGCCCAGGTGCTCCCTCCTACCCAGGGCAGCTTGGGGAGTGGGGCAGGAGTCGCTGCCTCTGTCCTCTCCCACCCACGCTGTCCTGGTGAGGGATCCCCACCAATGGCTTGGGGGGATCAGGTTAGCAGAGCTGGGGACCTGGAGGCAGGGAAAGCAGTGAGAGAAGCTGTGGGGTGGTGTGCAGGCTGCTGGGCTGGGCAGGGGGGCCTTGCGGCAGGTCGTCAGGGCGGAGGTGGGAAGTGGCGGGGGTGAGAGGAGGAAACAGCCTCACCTCTCACCCGCACCCCACTCCTGTGGGTGCCTAGCCGGCGGAAGTGTGTGTTGCCTCTGCCTCTGGGCTCCAGGTCCCCTCCCTGTCCACGACCGGAGCTGGCACCGGGCACTGTGTAGATAGTACCCGGTTCTTCGTGCCCCCAACCACCTGCCCTGGGCCCAGCTGAGCCCCACAGAGCCCACACCCTCCCTCTGTCACCGAAACCCTCCTCCACCCCTGCCCGCGTCCACGGGTCCCCACCTGCTCTTGCTGGACCCAGCACCTCCCAAGGGACTGCATGCCATGGGGCTGGGTCCATCTCCCATGTCCTGGCCTGGTAGCCCTCCAGGGTCCCCACCTTCTGTGGGGCGGGCTGTGCACCCCTGTGCCCAGGCAAGTCTCTGAGACGTGCGGGCAGTGTCTGGCAGGCACTGTGACAGTGACCACCCAGGCCAGCTAGACTCTTCCCAAGTGCCTGTGGTCAGTGCGCAGGGTTGGACACACCGCCTTCTCGGCCAGCCCCTCACTTGGCGGTGCTCCCAGCCTTGCCAGCCTCAAGCGAGGTGATCTCGGCACGCAGTGGCCGCCATCCAGCCAAGGCTCAGGGCAGGCGACCGTCAGGTGCCAGGGGTGTCAGTGCAGGGTCCCACTCACGCCTCCCCTGGACGGCCTTCTCTCTTGTTGGACGCACAGTCCCGACTGAGGTGACCTCATCCCCAAGCACAGTCCCTGCCCCTGCTGAGCGTCCCACAGTCTCTGCTGGCTCCGAATGGCCCTGCAGAGGTCCCCAGTCCTTCTCAACCTCGTCCTTCTAACCTGTGCCTACCGTCCCATGCAGGGCCTGTGCCCGCCTGTCACCCCAGGTATGCAGCAGGCTGCGGCAGCTGGATCCCAAGCTTGAGCCCGCCTGGGCTACTTAGTGACTTCAGTGACCCTGTCTCAGAATAAAAAGAATTTTAAAAGGGCTGGGGATGCAGCTCAGTGTGGAGACCCGAGGTCTAATCCCTGACAGTTCGGAAATTATGAGGGAGAGAGAAGAAAAAATGAACAAATGAATCAGGGCGTAGTTCTGAGCCCTGTCCGAGCTGTCCGAGGCCCTGGATTCAACCCCAGCTCCACAAAAATAAAATAAAAGCGCAGTGGGATTAAATTGACAGCACAGAGCCGGCTCGTCTCTCAGAAATCCCCCCGCCAGTGGCCACTCGGCCCTGGTGTGCTGAGACGACAGCACATCTGGCTGAGATTGACAGGGTGGGATTCAGGTCTATTTCTTAGATTTTGCTTTGCTTTTATTTTTAGATTTGTGTTTTCTGTTTGTCCCCTGTTTTCATTTTCCTGTTTTTATTTTGTTTCTTCTCTCCCTTTTCTTTTCCTTTCCTTTCTTCCCTCTCTCTTTCTCCCTCCTTCTTGCTTTCCTGCTTTCTTTCTTCTTCTGTACTAGGGATTGTGCCAGGATATTTGCACTGAGATTCATCCCCAGCCCTTTCTTATTTTTTATTTTGAGACGGGGTCTCCAATTTGCTCAGGCTGTCCTTGAACTTTCATTCCTCCTGCCTCAGCCTCCCAGCATCCTGGGCTTATTACAGGTGTGTACTGCCATGCCTGGCTTGGCTCCTCTGTTTTCTGGTTTCCCTCTCCTGCTTTAAATTGTATGACTCTTTATTCGTTTACTTCTGGGTGCTGGGGATAGTCTGGTGCACGCCGGGCAGTGTGGATGCAGCCCCAGGCGCTGTCCTCCTGGGCCTGTCCAGTCGTGGAGTCTCCCAGCCTTTGCCTGCAGCGCCAGTGCATCCGGAAACTGCACCAAGGCCCTCCCCGCCCCGAGTCCACCTCCTCTGGAGCCGGCAGCCCTGACCCCAGGCCTGGGGCTGACGCATCCCTCTGGTAGCCGGGCCCGCCTCAGGTCACCTCTGCCCCACCTGGGTGTGCAGCTTGGGGACAGAGGTTCGCCCTGCGGCAAGAAAGGAGGAAGCAGGCGGAGGGAGAGGCCTTCCTGCTCCAGGGCGCCTGCCCCGCTGCCTGTGGGGGCTGGACCTGCGGTGCTGGGAGGGACGGTCCTGCAGCCTCAGCCCTGCGCCCTCAGCTGTGGGGGTGCTGAGGCTCGCGGGGACCGAAAGGGGGGCCGCCTTGCTCCTCGAAGCGCTCTGTCTCAAGTCAGCTTTGCTCAGCATCTCAAGGGCACGGCGTGTGCGCCGGCTTTAGGGACACAGTTTGGCGGTATGAAATCAAGTTTGTGGTTGTTGATTATCGCTATAATCCGACATCAGAACACGTCTGACACCTGAGGAGGTCCTCCGCTGCCCCGCACCCTGCCCTAGGCCTCCCCTTCCCTCCCTCCTTCCTTCCTGTCTCTCTCTTTCCTTCCTCACCTCCTTTCTTCCTTTCTTTCCTTCCTTCTTTCTTCCTTTCTTCCTTCTGGTATTGAGGATGGAACCCAAGGCCTTCACACTGGACTACATACCCAGCTCATTAAATCACTGTTACCCAGTCTGGGCTCCAACTCAGGATCCTCCTGCCTCAGCCTCCTAGAGTATGGGGATCACAGGTGTGCACCATCATGCTCTTTTTTTAAAAAATAAAATATTTAGAGAACACAGAAAGTGTAAAGTTGTCATCAGCCAACACCTATATACCCACCACCCGTTTTATCAGATCTTAACATTTCTTCTTCTTCTTTTTTTTTTTTTTTGGTACCAGGAATCAAACTCAGGATCTTGGTCTTGCCAGGTAGGCACTGTACCACTGAGCTACATCCCCGGCCCTAGATCATTTCTTTTCATCTCAGACTTTTTCTTCTTTCTGGTTTATTTGAGCCCAGGATTTGTACTTGCTGGTCAAGGGCTCGACCACAGACAGAAGCCCAACCTCCGCTCTTCCCTTTAATACACAAACCTCACCACGTGAGACAAGCCCTCTGCGACCCCCAGACCTACAGCCTTCTCCGAGCCTCCTCTCTCTGACTCAGGGTCTTGCCACGCGGCCCAGGCTGGCTGTGAGTTCCTGGTCCTCGCCCTCCGCCTCCACGCTGTCTTCACCCTTTCACCTGTGCTGAGCCTCAGCAGGGGTGCTGCGCATGCGTTTTCCACGCCTGCCGGCCTTGACCTTCCCCCCAGCAGACGTGCAAGCTGGCTGTGTGGAGGAGGAGGAAGAGGAAGAGGAGGAGGAGGAGGTAGTGCTTCCTGCCTTCTCACCCCCAGGCCGCGTGTGGAGCTCCCCTCCTGTACCTTTTCCCCCCGGCTCTGATTTGCATCCCCCCCAGTCCTTAGTGGCGCTTTGCGTTTATGTACTTGTTGGCCACCGTATGTCTTCCTTGAGGAACTGTGGAATCAGATCATTTGCACATTTTTCAGTCAGGTTTCTTCTGTACAGCTTGCTTTTTTCGAGACAAGGTCTTGCTATGCAGTCCAGCCTGGCCTCAAACTTGCAGAGATCCTCCTGCCTTAGCCTCCCAGATGGTGGAATTACAGGCGTGTGCCACCACACCCAGCTGGTATTTTATACTCCTTTTCTTTTCAATTTTGATAAAACATGCACAACATAACATTTGCTATCTTAACCGTCTTAAGTGTCCAGCTCAGGGGCGCTAAGCACAGTCACACCATTGCTGAGAACACCACCCTGGTCCCCTGCAGAACTTTATTTTGCAAAACCAAAGCTCAGTCCCTGCTGAACAGCTCACTTCCTCTGAAGTATTTTTACACATTTTTGCAACAGAAACTTTCCCACACATACAGAGTGGGCAGGGTGGTGCAGTGAGCCCCGAGTCCCCAGTGCCAGCCGCCCCTTCGTGTCCACCTTTCTTATCTGCCCATCCCCCAGGCCGAGCCGTAGGGTGTCAGCTGCAGCTGTGGAACATGAGGGCTCATTGTCACAGCCATCAAACATTTTCACACCAGAAAAGCAAATGACAGTGTCCTAATACGGTCGTGCACCAGGCCCGGCCTGCGCCTGTGAGATCTCTGTGCCCTGCGCTCCTCCTCCGCTGCCTCCCGCCCTCCCCCCTCTCCGCTCTGCAAGTGGTCACTTGTCTCCTGGGGACCTTGCTGACTGTCCCCACTGTGGCATTTAACTACACCCGTCTCTCTACACCCTGGTGGCTGAGCTGAGCTGGATTGGCAGTGATGGTCACTATTCCTGATTTGCCCACCCTGTCGTCAGGCCTGCTCCATCACAGCTGGGCCAGCCGCTGGCGTGTCCTGAGGTGTCTGCGTCACCACCTGGCCCCTTGCTCACCCGTGGGCATGTCCAGTGACCTCATCTATCCCTCCTGCTAGAATCATCTAGAAGGAACATTTCATTTGACAGAGAACATTTCCCTGGAATTTGCTTTGTTGATTTATTTTTAAAACAGTGTGGTGGCACCTGCCAGTATCCCAGCACTCAGGAGGCTGAGGCAGGAGGATTGCTGTGAGTTCAAGGCCAGCTTGGGCTCATAGTGAGGCCCCATTTCAAAAACCAAGAAGCAAGGCAGTGCAGCAGGTAGTTGACTTGAAGAGCCCCAGAACCCCTCAGGTACTGTGACTTCTGGGAAATGTGAAATCTTTCCCAATCTCTTCTTATATTTTCTACTTATATTTCTAGTTTGTTCTTTCTCTCTCGCCTTTTCTATCACATTTTCCTTCTCTCAGGTGGACGCGTGCTATTTCCACCCTGCAGAGAATCCCACCACACCCCATCCTCGTTTTCTGTCGCAGCCGAGATCGCCAGTGCCAGGCCCCGCAGCCCTCCCCGTCCTCTCTCACTCGGGCTTTTCACCACTGTTTTTAAACCAGAATCTACTCTGAATCTACTGATTCAGAATCCCCTCTGAATCCACTGGCCCCAGCCCCTGCCCACTCTGCCCAGGGTCCCCACCCCCCGGGCACCGAGCCACTGTCCCCACAGCGGCCCTCACTTCCTGCAGCTCTGCTCACAGGGACGGAGCATCCTCGGGGCCCGGTCCCCGTGCTCAGCCGCCCGTCTCTGACATCCACGTCAGGCATAGTGTGGAGTGAAGTGCGGGGTGGGGACCTGTGTGGCAGAACCAGTCGATGTCACCAGTGTCACTACTTCCTCAAGGAGCTAAGAACAGGAAGCCCAGCCTCCCCGCCGGGCCCCACTGCTCCCCGAGACAGAACCACAGAGCAGCTGGCAAGGAGCGGGCAGGTGGAGCCCAGCCTGACACTGCCGAGGCCTCCCGGGACCGAGTGGTGAGTGAGGGCCCTGTGTCCTTGGTGGCCTCGGGGTGGGCTCTCCTGCTCCCCAGGGAGCTGCGCTCTGCTCCGAGACCCTTGCCCTGGGGGCCTGTCCATGTTCCCGGGCCCCAGCTGGGGAAAGTTTGGGCCAGGCCCCCCTCCTGAGACCTGGGGGTGGGGACAGGTGGGTGGAGTACACACAGGGCCCCTCCCTGAGGTGCCTGGAACACCTCGGCGAAGAGGGGCAGCTGTGACGGGGGTGCCGGCAGTCAGGAGGGCAGGGCTGGGCGAGCTTTGCGCTGAGGAGATACACTGTCAGCCAGCTCCCTGGGATGGGGATACAGGCCCGTGTGCCGGGAGGCTGCGGAGATGCAGGAGGGGGCAGTAAGAGGAGCACGAGGGTGCCGGTCACCACCGGGCTGCTGACAGCGTGCGACTTAAGCACTCACATTCTAGAAAGGACCCAGCCGGCCCCCATGTGCTTAGCTGCGCCCTTGACACATGTGCTGCCTGGCTCCCCGCTGCCTGAGTGTGTGCCTCGGGCACAGGGTGGATCTGTCCAGGGCCACCTGTGGCCACCAGTTGCAGGGCCTGGGAAGGCGGTGGGGGGGGGGCACGGTCGAGGTCAGGTCTCAAGTGAGCAGGTGAGCGGTTGGCAGAGGTGCCAAGGACCAGGACCAGGAGTCACAGACAGGGGCGGGGCCGGAGAGGTCCCGACTTCCTGTCTCCAGCAGCCAAGACTGAAGCATGGCGGTGTCAGCGCAGAAGGTGTGCAGGGGACAGACTACACTTGTCTCAGGAGTTTCCTGGGTCAGCAGCCGAATCCAGGGCCCTCTGCAGGAGGGCCCAGGGGCTGCCTGCCGCGGAGGGGGGTCAGCTTGCCGTCCGGAAGGGCTGGGAGTTGGTTTCTCCGTCTTCAGTGTGGGAAGGATATGTTGCCGACTGTACAAACTCCAACTGTCTCTGTGCTTCAAAGCAACTCAAAGCTCTCCTGGGGACGGCGCTGAGGGGGCCCCTGGGGCTCCTGTGGGGCAGCTTTGTCCTCTCAGGCCCCAGTATGTTCTGCAGGTGACCAGCTGGGGTGGAGGCCAGGGTCCTTCGAGGTCAGGTCTCAAGTGACGGGTACCTGGCTGTTGGAAGGGGCGGCCCCTGCGCCGAGGGAGGGAGCCCGGTCCTGCAGCCATGTGCCCTGTGGGCGGCTGGCCCTGTAGAGGCAGCATGGGGGCAGTGACACCTCTGCTCTGCTCCTGTTTGTCCCCATAATGCGGGCACCTCCTCTGCACACTGGTCCCCCGCCCGGCTCTCCACGTGGCCCTCGAGGAGTGTGCGTCGCTGGTAGGGCTGGCGCCAGTCCTCGCCATGGGTGGCTGGTGTGGGGCAAGTTCCCTCTGCATTGGCAGGGTGACCATCTCCGGGGCAGGGCTGGCTGGCGGGCTGGCCAGAGTCCTCGGGCCGCACTGGTGTCCAGCCCATCCCGCCACAGAAAAGCAGCCCTGCCCCACTTGCTGTGCGTGCAATGCTGGTCTGGCCTCCTCGGGCCGCTCCCTCCAGAGGGAGCGTTGCTTCAGACGCAGTCACCCAAGCCTGCCCTCCAGTGACGGCCCCATGATCTGCTCCAGTCACACAAAGGACACAGGCAGTGTGGCTGGGGCCCTTGCTGTCCTGCTCTGCTCTGCAACGCGGGGGTGGGGCTGGCTGCCAGGCCCCGGCTCTGCCTCACTCCCAGAGCTTGGTCTTTACCATCTCGGAGCACACATGGCCGGGCCGTGGCCTGACTCCTCCCTTGGCTTCCTGTGGCCAAGGCCGGGTCCTGTGGTCTGTGGTCAGCCTTGCTGCAACCAAGCCCTGCTCCCTACCCTGGGGTGTATAAGTGTGATGGGCCACCCGGGTCTACCTCTTGCTGCCGATCGGGCCTCAGTTTCCCCATTCGGGCACCCGAATGGTTCCACGCCAGTTGTCACAAGTGTTTCGGGTGCAGGGAATTCCAGGCTATGGCTGTAGGTCCGCATCCACACCTGTGGCTGAATGGCATGGGGCATCCTGGGGGCTGCTCCCCACTCTAGCTGGAGTGGCTGTGGTCTCAGGAGGGGGCGGCTGGACCCCAGAGTGCAGCCTGCAGGTCCCAGGACCCATGCCAGGGCTCAGGGCAGAGGCAGAGGCTTGGGCACACAGGGGCTCCCGGAAAGTACAGCAAGGAGCTCTGTGTGCAGCGGGAGAGGGGAACCGGCCATAGATGCTTCAGCTAGAGTCCCGCACCCTGGGGGTGGGGAGAGGCAAGGCGTGTGAACGCGAGCTGCTCCCCCAGCTACTGCACCCAGGAAGCCAGACCAGGCGCGAATTCTGCTTTCCACTGAAAGGGAAGGTCTAGGGGCGTGTTGACATCTTGGACGGGGATTATGGTCCTCCGGGGTGTGGGCCCAGCACCTCTAAAAGGGAAGAGCCCTAACCCTGGGGCCCCAGAGGTGATCCATTCCAGCCTGGGCACTGGCCACAGCACCAAACACCTTCACCAGCAGTGACTCACAGGCTCTGGGCAGTGGGGCGGGGCTGTGCTGGGCCCTTAGCCCCGGGCCCCTGAGGTCGGGGGAGGAGCTGGCACTGCTGTGGAAGGTGCCATCCTCTGTGCTGTGGTACTTCCTGCCACCCTGGCCTCTCTGCCTGCTCAGTGACGGGTCCCAGTCACCCTAGAGCTCCCGCCTCTGGGAGGTTGGGCCGGGGCCACGGACCAGGAAGCCTGGATGCTTCTGAAAGAGGGGGGCAGGCTGTGGGCAGGCTCAGGGTCCCGCACTTGCCAACCCCTGCTGGGCCTCAGTTACCCCTCCCCTGGGGCAGCAGGACCGAGGGTGACCATGAGTCAGCCGCTGTGGCCGGTGCCTGTGCTGCTGGGTTTCTCTGGGCAGGGTGGCACAGATTGAGAGAGCAGGGCGTGTGCCCAGCTGGGGGTGAATCAGGCTGGGCCCCGAGCTCCTCACAGCCCTTGTATGCCGTGTGGGATGAGGACGCCGGGAGGGCCCCACCCGCACTTCCTGGAGAGGACAGGAGAGCCCAGAGGCCAGAGGGTCGCAGGGCAGAGGCTGAGTGGACACGGAGAGGCACAGGCCGCGCCTGCACCTCCCAGAGCTCAGGCCGCCGCCGTGCTCGTGCTGGTCCGCCGCCCGCACAGGGACCGGGGCCAGCTGGGTCTCAGGGCACACTGGGGAGCTCACCGTGGACTTGGGCCCGGCTCTGTGGTGTGCACGTGGTGTGTGTGCGTGTACACGTGAGTGCATAGTGAGTGTGAGTGCCCGTGGTGTGTGTGCGCACATGAGTGTCCTGCAGGTTTCTGCAGCCCATCATTCCTGGCTCCCGGCCACTAAAGGCAGTCCCTCACCCCTGCCCCAGTCTGCAGTGGCACTCAGCATGGGGACCCGGGAGGCCGCTGTGCCAGTCCCGCCAGGCCCCAGGCCCCATGGTGGGAGGGACGGGAGCCCTCACCCAGAACGGGCTCTAGCCCACCATCCTCTCTCCCCAGGACATGCTGGACCGGTGCCTGCTGCTCGCCCTCCTGGGGCTGCACTGCCTCGGGTCCGGTGAGTGTGGGAGGGGTCTCCACCACATACCCACCCCTGTGCCACCTGGATGCTAGTTCCAGGGGCGCTGGGAGCAGTCACTGATGCCGGCCTTGGCCCCCACGCAGCAGGGCTGTGGCAGGGTCCCTGGGGCTGTGCTCTGCAGCCCAAGCCTGGCCTCTTCGCTGTCCCTGGGTCTCCCCTTCCTCCTCCTGTGTCCCTGTGTCTCACCCACCGCCTGTGTCCCCAGCCCTCTCTCAGGAATGCACCAAGTACAAGGTCAGCACCTGCCGGGACTGCATCCAGTCGGGGCCTGGCTGCGCCTGGTGCCAGAAGCCGGTAAGGGTGGCACAGAAGTGTCGGGGACCCAAGGTTCCTCCTGTCTGAGTGCCCTCCTGTCTCCCCAGCTCCAGGAGGTCACAGTTCCATTCTCTTCGGGTGGGGTGGCCCGAGGCCCTGGCATTGTCCGGGGAACGTGAGGACAGACGCAGGTGCCCTGCACCAGCCCCAGAGGCAGGAGAAGTCCAGACGAGAGCGGCATAGGGCTTGGCTGTCAGCTCTGGTCCACGTCCCGGGGTGCCCCGGGGTCCCCCGCTGGCTGACAGAACACATAGGCTCTCTCTGGGGAAGCAGCTCCCTGGGACTGAGGCCCCACTGACCAGGGCTTGAGGTCCTGGAGCAGCGTTAGGTGATGCCAAGCAGCTCCCTGCTGAGGGGGGCACGTGCCTTGCTCCAGAAGCTCAAGGCTCGAGGCTCAGTGGGACCTGGAGCCCCAGCAGAGGCTGCCTCTGCAGCCAGCATGTAGAACCACTGCCCCTACAGTTACAGCAAGGGTTTCCATCAAGAGGTCCCCTCTGCAGAGTCCAAGTCCCCAGGCCCCACGCCCCAGGCCCTATGCCCCAGGACAGGAGGCTTCTGCCCCTGCCACCTCCTCCTGAGCCCCACTCCTCACCTCCAGAACTTCACGGGGCCAGGGGAGCCCGACTCTGCTCGCTGTGACACCCGGGAGCAGCTACTGAAGAAGGGCTGTGCGCCTGACGACATTATGAACCCCAGCAGCCTCACTGAACCCCAAGGGGACCAAAGGGGGGACCGGCAGCAGCTGTTCCCACAAAGCTTCAAGCTGTTCCTGAGGCCAGGTAGGCTTGGCGTCCTCTGCAGTGAGGAACTCGGCCCTGCTCCGGGTTGCGTATGCACCAAGGGGCAGGTGTGGCCCAGGCTGCAGGGAGCCTGCCCGCCTGCCCCAGACCCACTGTCCACAGCTTGGTGTCTGCTCTCACTCAGCCCTGGGTTCTGCCTTGTTTTTGGTGCCGGGAATTGAACTCAGGACCTTACGCCTGCCAGGCAGGCACTTTTACCACTGAGATATACCCGCTACTCTGCCTTTTCTAGAAAGGAAAATGCTTGATTTTTGGAAAACACTTGATTGTTTTTTAGGTACTGGAAATTGAACCCAGAACCTTTGCACAGAGCTACATCCCCACTCCTTTTTTCTATTTTGAGATAAGAACTGGATAAGTTATCTAGTTGCTCAGGCTGAGTTTGAACTTTCCACCCACTGCCTCAGCCTCTCGGGGTGCTGGGATGACAGGTGTGCGTGGGGCCTCCATTATAAGGTCTCTCCCACATTGGACGGGGCTCCGCCCTCACCACCTACTGGGCTCTGCCATTGAAAGAGCTGAGCTTCCCAGCGTGTGGGGTTGGGTGGATGCAGACTTTCGGCCAGGCAAGTGGACATTTTTGTACTTGGGGCATTGATCTTTACCTGGTATCTTGGTTACTTTTCTCTCCTTGCTGAGACGAAATACCTGACGTGCAAAGTCAAGGAAGGAAGGGTTTATTTGGCTCATAGTCTGTGGTGATCCATACTTGGCTGGCTCCAAGGTAGAGTGGCACATGGCAGAAGGCAACTGTTCATGGTGGCAGAAAACAGCAAAAGCAGCAAGAGCAAAATACAGGAGCAGCAGAGTGAAGAGCAAGCCTCTTTCCCTCCCTTCCATTGTGTGCAAACTATCCACCCCAGGGCGGGTGTAGCACTCACATCCCTAATCCCAGCATTGGACCATCAATCAATCATAAACTCTAGAAGCCCGCCCCATGACTGCATGAGGCTTTGGGAGACATGCAGACACAGACCATAACACCTGGATTCAGGGCTGGGGATGTGGCTCAGTGGTAGAGCTCAAGGCCCTGGGTTCAATCTCCAGCACCACATACATAAAAAAACCAATAATGATAATAACACCTGGATTCAGAGCCCTGTGTCTAACCCATAACCCGGGCCAGGCCACCATGAAGGGAGGAACTGGCTGGAATTGGGAGGCTGGGGAGAGGACCAGAGCCCCACATGGGGCGCCTCGAACTCCCTGTCCACTGCAGGCCAGGCGGCAACATTCAACGTGACCTTCCGGCGGGCCAAGGGCTACCCCGTTGACCTGTACTACCTCATGGACCTGTCCTACTCCATGCTGGACGACCTCATCAATGTCAAGAAGCTGGGCGACGACCTGCTGCGGGCACTCAATGAGATCACTGAGTCCGGCCGCATTGGTAAGGCCCCGTCCAGCCGCCCACACACCCACACACAGGTCCCGAGGAGTGAGGCAGAGGCCCCATGGACAACGTGCCCTGCGGTGTCCAGGCCCCTCCAGGGCCAGGGCCAGGGCAGCACCGCCATGGTCATCAAAGGCCAGCAGTGTGATAGCCGGGTACCTCATCCGAGTGCATGCTCCCCCAGAGGGCTCTGCCGGCCTCTCTGTGTGCAGGAACACAAGCATGCACACCTGAACATGTGCACACGTGCTCTCATACATGCTGCACACATGGGGCTGGGGATTGAGCTCAGCAGCACAGCGCCTGCCTGGCAAGAGCAAGGTCGTGAGTTTGATTCCTGGTACCGGAAAAAAAAACAAAACTTAAAAAAAAAAAATTAAAAGATACATGCTGCACACACCCAGGTTCATACTCACTGATCATGCACACATATGCACACACACAGGGTCATGCTCATTAGCTACATGCTCACACATGAACAGGATCACACACACACATCACATCATACATACTAGACGTGTATGTGACCACAGGCACACATGTGCATAGCTGCACATACATGTACGTGCACACAGTCATGCTTGTAGGTGTGAGAGCACACATGAGCACATGCACACATCACATGTACACCTGTGGCCACATGCGTGCTTGTTCGCCTCACTCTCCAATGCACCCCCAGGCCCATCACCTGGCTACAAGACAGGCAAATGAGGCCTGGCCCCTCCGGGCCTACCGCTCTGATCCCCCAGCCTCACAATGCCCCCTCCCAGGCTTCGGATCCTTTGTAGACAAGACGGTGCTGCCCTTCGTGAACACACACCCTGAGAAGCTGCGGAACCCTTGCCCCGACAAGGCCAAGGAGTGCCAGCCGCCCTTTGCCTTCCGGCACGTGCTCAAGCTCACCAACAACTCCAACCAGTTCCAAACCGAGGTTGGGAAGCAGCTCATCTCCGGGAACTTGGATGCCCCCGAGGGAGGGCTGGATGCCATGATGCAGGTCGCCGCGTGCCCGGTGAGCCCCCTGCACCATCTGGCCCCTCTGTCCCCAGACGGGGCTCCCACACACCAGCAGCCAGGTGCACTGGCTGCGGGCATGTCAAGCGCTCACCCTGCCTGGCCGGCCCCTGCTGACCTGGCTGAGGAAGAGCGGCCCCAGCCCCACCACCCCAGATGCCCAGGCAGGAGAGCAGCAACAGAGTGCCCAAGTCACCACAGATTTCACCACCACTCGTGCCCCCGGCAGCCTAAAAGCACCGGTCCTGCGCACAGCCCGGGCCTGCACTTCCCGGAACATACTGTCCCTCGCCCTTCAAGGCAGGAGGGTGCTTGCCTGGGTCCCTGCCCCGCTCACATCCTGGGCCTGGCATTCTGACACGACCATGCACACTCCCGCTGCTCAGCCGGCCTCCAGCTCTCCAGCATCCCCAGGCCTGGCATTCGTGGTCACGCCATAGAGTCACATGCTTATGTGTCAGATCAGGGTCTGTGACACACGTGATCAAGTATGCCTTCCTCCAGGGACCTTCCAGGGCTGCCAGAGCTTCCCACAGAGACCTCAGGTCCCTTCTTCTGCACTCAGGAAGCTTCTCTGCAATGGACACTGCTGCCCATGGTTTTCTTTGGGACTGTTTTCTTGAGCTATGTTCCCAAGAGCAATGGCCTCTTCTCCATTCAGCCATGCGTTTCCAGCCTGGCCCCCGGCACATGCGGGCTCCTCCTGGGTGCTGGCTGGTGCTACCTGCTCCTGGTCCCCACTGCTGTGAACACCCTGGGTGTGAGGGCAACGCTGCTGACCCCAGGCTGCCCGCCCAGCTCTGGGAGCCCTGCTGGGAAACTGAGACAGGAACCCCTCCACCTTCTCCCCAGGAGGAAATCGGCTGGCGTAATGTCACACGGCTGCTGGTGTTTGCCACAGACGATGGCTTCCACTTTGCGGGGGATGGGAAGCTAGGAGCCATCCTGACCCCGAACGACGGGCGCTGCCACCTAGAGGACAGCATGTACAAGAGGAGCAATGAGTTTGTGAGCGCCCCGCCCTGCGTCCCTGGTGTCTGCGGGAGGGCGGGGAGCCCTGGGGAGGACTCTCCAGGCCTTCAGCACCCCAGGACAGCAGCCAGCATGCTGTGTGTGCGGCCACCCTGAGGAGCAGGCAGCTCTTCTAAAACAGGCGTGCGGAGCTCCAGGCCCTGGGGGCATCGAGGCCCTGGGATGCTGCTCCAGCCCGGAGAACGTGACTGGTGGGGCAGCAGCCCACACATGTGCCCCAGCCACAGGCACTGCCCCTCCTCCCCAGGCGGGGTCAGCCCCTCCCTCCCCCAGGAGACCCCTCTGGACAGCCCCCCCAACGGTGCTACAGAGGACTTAGGGATGGGAAGCTCAGGGGTCCCCACCTGGAGCCCACACATTCTGGGAATCCCGACAGGGGACAGGAAGGAGGGACAGTGTCCATCCATGAGCCTCTGCCTGGAACTTCGGGTCCTGCAGCTCCTCCACGGGAGGCTCCACCACAGGAGGCTCCACCATAGGAGGCGCTGTCTGGGGTTCTGCCCCCACAGAACCCACTGTAGCTCCCTGCTACCCACAGTGCGGATGCCTCAAAATGCTTCCCACGCTCCAAACAGCTTGAAAAACTAGGAGCAGATCTCATGTTGATCAACCATGTGATCACACATCACGTCCTTTCTCTCTTCCTTCCTTCTGTCTGTCTTTCTTTCTCTCTCTGTGTCCTTTTCTTCTCTTTTTTTCTTTCTTTCTTTCTTTCTTTTCAGCACTGGAGATTAAACACAGAGCCTTCACACTGAGCTAAAGCCCCAGACATGTTTTGTTTTTTTGAGGCAGGATCTCACTAAGTCACTAAGCTACCCAGGCTGGACTCGAACTTGCCATCTTCCTGCCTCAGCCCCGCTGTGTCCTGAGGTTGCAGAGGTGCACCTCCACGCCTGGCTCGATATGTTCTCAGCTGTGTTTCAACAGGCTTGGCTTCCCACATAATCCTGTCAGGCACTGCAAACCTGGCGGGAGCCCAGCTGGGCCCGAGTCGCTGTCTGCACCCCCTGGCCCTGGGCCCTTGGTGCCAGCAGCAGGCTAGGAAGATTGGTCCTCAGATCTGGGCCAGCTAAGCCGACGTCCCCTCTCTGCAGGACTACCCGTCGGTGGGCCAGCTGGTGCACAAACTGACGGAAACCAACATCCAGCCCATCTTCGCGGTGACCAAGAGGATGGTGAATACCTATGAGGTCAGTAGAGCCAGGCCCTGAGACCTGGGGGCGGCGGCTGGCCACTTCCTTGGAAGGCTGACAAACCCCAGCACGGCCGTGTGACTTCTGCTTCTGCACATCGGTGGGTGGGAGGCTGGCTCACAGGGTTTGTGGGTGGGAGCATAGGGATGGGGGAGTTCAGCGCCTCTGTTAGGCAGCAGGACGCTGTCATGCAGATGTGAGAAGGGACCTCCCGTCCCGGAGAAAGCGTGCGTCTTGCTGTGGGTGGGATTTCCTTTTTTTTTCCTGGAACACTGAAGTCTCTGGAAACTGCAGATCTGAGCTTTCACTCACTGAGGGAGATCCTCGTGTTTTATTCCCACACACGTTTGAACGTCACATTTTCTTTGCTGTGCGGCACACAGCAAAGTTCTCTGATGCAAGCACGGAGCCAGCTGTGTTTTGCAAAGGAAAGCACCAACCATCTCAGGCTTGTGCATGGCCACCTGGGCTGTGCCGGCAGGCGGCCCGTTCTTCCACCTGTGGTCAGATGAGGCTTCCGGGAGGTCTGGGCCCACGGTGACACAGCCCGGCCCATCCCACCTGGGGAAGGCGGGCGGCAGCCACTGTCCACCCTGGTGTGGTTTGGTAAGCTCAGCTCAAAGCAGGCCCCGCATCCAAGCCCCTGAGGAAGCCGAAGCCTCCCTATGTCGCCTCTTCTGCGAGGACAGAAATGACTGGATCCAGCGACACCACGGGAAGGGGTGGCTGCAGGACACATGGTGTTTCGGAGGTCCAGGTGGCCCCTGCGGCCTGCGTCTTTGCTGGTAGAGGTGGTGTGGGACCGGAGTGAGGACAACCACGTGCCAGTGCGATGTGCCCAGGGCTGGACAAATGGGTGCAAGGGGCGCAGGGGCTGTCAGGGCAAATGCACCCACTCTGCAGCTTGGTGCAGCTCAGTGATTTGCCCCCAGTAATGGCGAGCCACCAGCTCGGTGATGTCCCACCTCGAGACAGCCACCAGTCAGTTACGGTTTGCCCCTTCGCGGGGCCGGTGTCAAAGGTGAGTGTGCACCGGGCGCAGCAGAGGGCCCAGCGTGGGTTTCTTGGTGTCCCCTCACCATGGAGCTGTGAGCAGCACCTTATTCTCCCTGAAGCAGCGGTGACAGCAGGCATGAGTGTTGTCATCCAGAGCTTGGACTGGGGATTCTGTCAGGCCACGGTTGTGTGGACACAGCTTGCTGCCTGCGTGGCTGACTGCTGCTCTGCTCCTCTAGAGCTGCGCTGATCCCCATGGCCCCAGAGCTGTTGCACCCCTGGGCGAACCAAGCCCCAGATAAACACCGACAACCGTGCCAGCAGGAGGGCCCTGCAGGGGCTGGTGAGGCCCAGCCTTCCCATGCAGCCCACCCTGGCAGAGCATACCGCTCACGTCTGCCTGCATGCCCAGGCTCCTGCACCCAACGCGAAGCCAGAGGGGCACGGGGTCCAGGTGTGCTCTAGAAAGTCTGATGCCTTCACAGAGTCTTCAGACAGACAGGGTCCGTGAACAGAGAGCCTGGGCTCCCACCTGTGTCACAGCAGATGGCCTGAGGCCTGAGGCTGTTTCTTAGCAAGAATCCCCAGCTTTTTCCTCTGTGAGAGATGCAATGCTACCCTCACAGGGCCACCGAGCCTCATCTGGAAGGTGCTGCCATCCCCTGGCTGCAGTGTCCAGCCCTGCCATTGACACTGTCTCCATCAAAAGTGACCAATGTGAAGTCCAGGCCGACTCCGTGCTCCACGGTGCTCCATGCGCCCCTCTGTAGTTCAGACCAAGAGGATGGATTTGCATTCCAGGGAAAGTAAAACGCATCGTGCCCCAGAAGAGGGTCGCTTTTGTAGGAAGCCCTGTGCCGAGCGAGAGGAATAGGGCATCAGGGTCACATGGCACGCATGAGTTAAGACTGCGGCACCCCAGGGCGGCCAGCGGGGCCGGCACGCCTGCTGCCGGCTTCCCAAGCTCCAGGGAGGGACAGGAGGCCCGGGAGCAGGTGGGCAGGTTTCTGAGACCCTCCGCCACACTGCCAGGCTCACGAGGGCTCATGGCCAGGGCCATCAGAAAGCCCGCCCGCCAGCCAGGCCAGGTGCCCGCGTCCTCATCTGGAGTGGGCTGAGATGGGCCCCTCCTTGCAGGGCCGCTGCGGGCCCCGGTGCTTGGCTGGGTCTCGGACACCGTGTTCCAGGAGACCGCAGGGCAACGAGGGCAGAGGAGCAGGTGCACACTGGGGTGCACATCCACCTCCCTGTGGCGTGGGGCACAGTCCTGCTGGACCTGCCCCCTGCGGTCAGGACAGCAGGAAGTGCACGAGGAGCGACCTTGCCAGAGCCCTGCGCATGCGTATCTGCACCAAGAGCACAGAAGCTCCACAGGCAGGATGCAGGCAGTGTGGGCAGCAGGTCCAGAGAGGGGGCGACCGGGCTGCGATGGCCCCGACAAGGGCTCAAGGGGCCTGGATGCCTCTGGGAAGTCACGGAGCGTGGGGGGGGGGCACAGCTCGGCCCTGAGCAGCCCCAGTGGGTGTGGAGAGGGGCCCGCCCTGCGTGTAGCCGGGGGCTCTGGTCAGTCGGCCACACCCAGGGACACTGCTGGGTGCAGGACAGGACTGTGCGTTGTCAGGGTCCTCTCACAGTCACTATTCAATCCAAATCGCTTGCCGGGCATCATGGTGCAGCCTGAAATCTCAGCACTAGGGACTGAGGAAGGAGGACCGCAAGTCTGAGCCCAGCCTGGGGAATTTAGTGACTTAGCAAGACCCTGTCTTGCCATAAAAAGTGCGAGTTGGGGATGGAGTTCAGTGAGCAGGCCCCGGATTTAAAAAGATGAAGCCAACCAGCGCCCTGAGGTGCTCGGACTTAGCCCTTCCTGGGGATGTATTCTACCCCCTGTTGCTGGTGCTGAGCCCTTAGCTGCTTTAGGCATGCTCGACCCGGTGTGTTCCCAACGCTTGGCACAGCAGGGTAGCGCCTTCATGCCTGGCCAGCAGCGGCCCTCGCCTGGGCCCCCTTCCTGAGAGCCGAGGCTCCCTCAGCGCGGGGAGGACGTGTAGACCCCGCCCCAGCTGGTTCTGGTGCCACAGATCCCGAGTACCAGGTGCCGACTCACCGGACCGTCCTGTCGCCCGCAGAAACTCGCCCAGATCATCCCCAAGGCGGCCGTGGGGGAGCTGTCCGAGGACTCCAGCAACGTGGTGCAGCTCATCAAGAACGCCTACAACGTGAGTCCCCCCGCTGGGCCACACGGGGCTGGGGCAGAAGGCTGGGGACAGAGAGACAGAAGCTGCCCCAGGGTGGGCGGGGCCCAGAAGACCCTGCAGTGGACTTGGCCTTCAAACACGCTCCGAGGATAAGGTGTCTCTCGTGTGTCAGTCCCCCATAAACCCCACAAGGACCCTCCTGCCCCGCCTCCTCTCAGGATGTGGCCCATGTAGCTATGCCCAGGGCTGCTCGCTCCGGGTCCTGTGGTCGCGGTGGACTCAGGGGTGCAGCAGGCGCCTCTCAGGGCCTGTCTCCACCAGGTTCCTATGGCCCTGGAAATCAGCCCCCCGGTGGCTGCGTTGAAGGTCCCGGGGGCTGCAGGACATAGCACCTGGGCACGTCCCACACACTCAGCTTTGCTGGGGTGACCTTGAGCCTGGGGAGGGCGTCCAGCACCTCCTCCGGCCTCCTGAGAGCCCCATGCAGGGCCTGCGGTGCCTGTCCCTGTGTCCGTCTCCACACAAACGACCTGGCTCCTCCAAAACATGGCACTCACAGGCTGTGCCTACTGTCTCTCTGCGTTCTCTCTCCTGCAGTTTCTCTCGGCTGTCTCTCCATCTCTGCCTCCTGCCTCTGTCTCTCCCCAGGGCCCGTGGACACTCCGTCCAGGGCAAGGGACAGTCCTCAGGGGGCTCCCGGCAGGGTCCTCGCAACTGCCTGTCTGGAGGGCAGGGCTGTGGCCTTGGCAGCCCCATCCTTGTGCCTGGCATGCCCCGCCCAGCTCCCCGTGGTCACTTGAATGGTAGGAGGGGGTGGAGGCGTCCATGCGCGGGCCGGCCCCACAGCAGGACGCCCACCCTGCGTGCTCCGCCCTCTGCTGCAGAAACTCTCCTCCAGAGTGGTGCTGGGCCACGGCCCCCTGCCCGACACGCTGAAGGTCACCTACGACTCCTTCTGCAGTAACGGAGTATCGCGCAAGGACCAGCCCACAGGGGACTGCGAAGGCGTGCAGATCAACGTCCCGGTGAGCCTGGGGTCCACGGGGGCCGGGCTCCGGCCCAGCTTGCCAGCCTGCATGGGTCTGAGACTCCAGGGAGCCCAGGAGAAATGGAGGCTGGCTTGGGGACCTCGGGAGAGCAGGAGGCAGCGCGGTCCACCTGCAAGCCGGCCTTGGGCCCCAAGCCTCCTCCGGGACAGGCCAGGCCCTCCCAGCGAGGGTCCCACTGTGCCATCCCTTGGGGAGAGGACCCTGGAGGGGAGGACACACGGCTCCCCTGTGCCCGTTTCCTGCACAGGGCACCGAGATCCCCACGGGGCTGAGCGGGCGGAGCCTGCGCCAGACAGCGCCCCCTAGGGCCAACCGCGGCTAGGCAGGGCGACCAGCCGGGTTTTCTTGAAATTTTTTTCGTGTATATTTGTTTGAGGAGAAGGGGCTGGAACTCAGAGTCCTGGGCCTTCTAAGTAAGTGCTCTGCCGCTGAGCTGCACTCCCAGCCCTTTTTCATTTATCATTCTGAGACAGGGTCTCGCTCAGTCACCAAGTTGCCCAGGAAGACTCACACTTGCAGTCTTCCTGCCTCCACCTCTCCAGTGGCCGTCACGGCCAACCAGCCCTGCCTTACAGGAGAGGGGAGGTGCTGAGGCTGCCTGAGGCTGTGCCTGGACTCTGACAACCCGGCTCCCGGCAGCCAGTGTCCTCTGCGCCCGTGCCGAGCCATGCTGGGGACGTCTGCTCTGCCCGATGCCCACCCAGTGCCCTGCTGCCCCCGGCCATGGCTGGCTGGCTGCCTTTGACCTTTGCCCGGGGCCGGATGGAGGGCCCTTCCAGGACCTAGGGCTCCCTGAGGGATCTGGACCTCTTAGCACCCTGGAGAAGGGCAGAACGGGCACACAGCGACCCCTTTGAAGTCGCTGTAGAATCCCCTCACTGTGTGCGTGAGAAGACGTATTCTACAGAAGTCCTCTCCGACAGCCTGAGCCGCAGAAGGGCCTGGGTGCCTCCTCGCTGTGGGCGGGGCCTGCGTCCTCAGAGCAGCTCACCCTCCTGTCCCCTTAACCTGCTCCTCGACAGGGCCCTGAGAGGCCAGCGGCCTCCCTCCCACACTGGCTGTATGTCCCCTCCGGCCAGGAGAGGGGCAGGAGCAGGGCAGCGACCTGGTCGCCCAGGCCCCACCTGAGCCCTGCCCCTGGCCCACAGGTCACCTTCCAGGTGAAGGTCACGGCCACGGAGTGCATCCAGGAGCAGTCCTTCGACATCCGGGCGCTGGGCTTCACGGACACGGTGACCGTGCGGGTCCTGCCCCAGTGCGAGTGCCGCTGCCGGGACCAGGGGCAGAACCGGGGCCTCTGCGGGGGCAAGGGCTCCATGGAGTGCGGGGTCTGCAGGTGAGGGGCACAGGGTTCCCGGACAGGCGTTCCGGGCCCTGAGGCGCAGGACGGGGTGCAGGGAGCGGGGGGTCCAGCCTGCAGAGCAGTGGAGGCTCCTCTGTGGCCTTCCTTGGAGCCCCTGCCCTGTGGTCCTCACTCCTGCCTGTCCCTGCACACTGCTGTGCCCGCCCGGGCAGCGCACCGACAGGCAGGCCGGAAGGGGGCGGGAACGCGCCACCGGCCCAAACCACAGACAGCCGGCTTGTCAGGAGCAGAGGCCGAAGCGGGGCCCTGCGTGTCCAGCACAGCCGTCGGCACACACGCGGTTGGTTCTGTGGTGGCAAGCTCACAGACCACCCTCACATGCGTGCTGCCCTCCCTGGGACGCCCTCGGGGCAGCTCAGGTGTCCTCGTCAGATGCTCAGCCCATCCCCTGTGCTCCCACATCTTGGAGGGAGCAGACCCAGGTGCAGGAGCAGTATAGACAGCCCTTCCCAGTCCTCCTGGCATCCAGGAAGTTTACATTTTTAATCCCATGAAAAGTTATTGGAATCCTATCAGGTGAATTCCAATCTACCACTTCCCATGCATCCCACAGCGAGAATAAAGACACTAAGGCACGTTTGTAGCTATGCGGAACCAAGGGATCCTAAGTCCAGCCATGACGATGGCCATCCCGCACAAAGGCCTGCGCCCAGGGCTGAACCCGGGTTGTATTTATTCATGAAGGAGTGGCTTGAGAATGAGAATGAGTGACTGTGAGAACCTTGGGAAGGACAGGAGTGCCCCGAGCTGGGCCAGGTCAGAGGACTGAAATGCCCTGTGCCAATGCAGAGAGAAGGATCTGCAAAAGGAGTAATCTGCATGACACAACTGAGATAATAGCTAATGTTTTGGGGTCCGTGCTTCAGCCCTGATATGTAATCTACATCCCAGCCTCTTCCCGACTCACACAGGGGAACAATGGGGTGGGGCCCAGGGAAACACGCCTGCCACCCTCCAAGACTACCTACCATCAGTACCTCTGGACTGATTTGCATTGCTTAAGGCCAACTGAAGGGATAAAGAAAAGTCCTAGCCAGCTCTCTATATATCCGTCAATACATGGAAATAGGGCCAGGTTCAGCCAAGTTGGAGACAGTTGCTCTTCTTTCCACGAGAGTCATCCAGGTGGTCCTCCACAGTGCAGGAGCAGCCGTCTGGGCCCAGGACAGCCCAAGGGACAGAGGCCCTGTCCTGCAGGGGACCTGACCACACCCCCCCCCAGGTGCGACGCCGACTACATCGGCAAGAGCTGCGAGTGCCAGACGCAGGGCCGCAGCAGCCAGGAGTTGGAGGGCAGCTGCCGGAAAGACAACAGCTCTGCCGTGTGCTCGGGGCTGGGGGACTGCGTGTGCGGGCAGTGCGTGTGCCACACCAGCGACGTCCCGGGCAAGGTCATCTACGGGCGCTACTGCGAGTGTGACAACATGCAGTGTGAGCGCTACGACGGGCAGGTGTGCGGCGGCCAGAGTGAGTGACCGGGCCCCGCGACAGGACCTCCGGGGAGGGGTTGTCCCGTCCACTGCACAGAGAGCGGGCGCGGGACCCAGGGACAGACAGATGCACAGAGGCACAGTCCGCGTCTCTCTCGGCCACTCGGCAGCAGCAGGACCAGCCCACTCCTTCCCGCCAGGAGGTTTCTGCCTCTGTGTGGGTGACTCAGGCTCCTGGGAGGGTCCCATGGGCCATGGCCTGGGGCGGGCTCCCATGCCAGGTGGGATGTGGAAGCCCCAGTGGGCCTGGGCCGTGGGCAGCGGGGCCTGCTGGTGCCCGTCCTGTGCTCAGGAGCAGCTGCCGGAGGAGGGACCAGAGAGGAGGAGGGCAGCAGAGCAGGTGGAGCTGGGCGGGGTCAGAGGAGGCAGCAGTGCCCTCTCCAGCGTGTCCTGGGCCACAGACCCGGCAAGCAGCTGAGCGGCGGTGGCCTTCCTGTCCTGCAGAGAGGGGGCGCTGCGACTGCGGCCGGTGCTTCTGTGAGGCGGGCTTCGAGGGCTCGGCCTGCCAGTGCAAGAGCTCCACCGAGGGCTGCCTGAACGCGCGGCGCGTGGAGTGCAGCGGCCGGGGCCGGTGTCGCTGCAATGCGTGCGAGTGTGACCCGGGCTACCAGCCGCCCCTGTGCGAGGAGTGTCCTACCTGCACCCCCCCCTGCGCTGATCTAGCGTGAGTGTTCCCCGCTGCCCAGGGCCGGCCTCGCCACGCCCACCTGCTACCCCAAGGATACCGGTGCTGGCGTCCCTGGGAGTCCCTGCGGGCGCCAGCACCCCCAGCCCTCCTCTGTGGGCACAGCTGCAGCCCTCGCCTGTCAGCCCAGGGTCAGGGCTCTGCCGTCCCCCTCCAGCCTGCGCCACCTCACTCTCGTCCTGCGCTGGGCTCTGACGGCGCCCAGGCCGCATTTACACTCCTTACACCCGGACAAGGGCTGGGGATATAGCTCAGCAGAATAAGTGCTTGCCTGGCAAGCCTGAGGTCATGAGTTCAATTCCCAGTACCAAAAAAAAAAAAAAAAAAAAAATGTTAGTAGCTTACATCCGGACACACAGGTGCACCCGTGCAGACTCGCATGCTCCCTTCATCCCTGTCCTGGCTCCCACCCGGCCCCCACAGCCCCTGCGCCGAGTGCCTGAAGTTCGGCTCAGGCCCTTTGGAAAAGAACTGCAGCGTGGCGTGTGCGCATCTGCGTCCGCTCACCCTGGGTGGGACCCGCAAGACCTGCCGGGAGCGGGACTCTCAGGGCTGCTGGATGAAATACACCGTGCGGCAGCAGGACGGGAAGGACATGTACGAGATCGAGGTGGAGGAGGTCCGAGGTGAGTGGGCAGTGCCCGGGGTCCGGGCCAGGTGGGACCAAGGACATCACAGGCAGCCACAAGGCCAAGCAGGAGCCTAGGGGCAGCTGGGGGCCGGGTCTCTCCCATGGGGCTCGGCAGGCCCAGCACAGGGAGGACAGTGGGCTTGCTGGGCAGATTGGTGCCCGGGAGCTGGCTGCCCCCCATGGGCCTCCATTCAGCTCTGGTCCTGTGGGGCCTGGGAAGGCCGTGAACTGGGGAGCCTGACTCGGCCTTCTCGGGTTCACAGTCCCAGGGGCCGGGAGGCACCAGAGTACGCAGAAGCAGACGCAGGTGTCCACGGTGTGGTGCTGGGGTCAGGCACCAGGATGCAGAGACCTGGGGGCAGGGTCCCCAGTCAGGAGGCTCAGTTCTCTCAGAGGGGACGATGGCAGCATCGGACTTGGGGTCGTGAAGGTCTGTGGCCAGGCGGGGATTGCAGGAGTTAGGGAGTTGTGGTTCTGTTCATGGTTCCCAGAGGACTGACTCGTCCGAGTTGTGTTTTTGAAATCGACTTGCCTGGAAGGCAGGAGCACAGGGTCTTGTTGTGCGGGAGGTGGCACTGTCCTGTCAGGGCCAGGTAGACACTGTCCCTTCCAAGCCTGTTGCTCGACCAGGAGTGAGATGGATATGAGGACTGTGTGGTCCCATGGTGTGGACGGTGGGGAAGATCGGTGGGGACGGCAAAGGTTGGGTGTGTGAGGGCCTAGCAGAGAGTGCAGCTGCCTACGGCTTAGGGCCGTTGGTCTGGGCATGGGCTGACAATAACCAGTGGTGCTAGGACGCTGGACTTGGGCAGAAGGATGTACGGAGGACCTCACAGGTTTAGACCCACTGCCCTGAGGTTCTCAGCCCCGACTCTGTTAGGCTTCAGAGACGCAAGGGATGAGCTGGAAAGACACAGAGGTGACCGCAGAAAGCGCAGGCCTGAGCCCCAGGGAGCTCCGCCCCCAACTCCTCCTCAGATGGGAGCCACGGGAGGCAGGTGGGGCCCAGCCTGTCCCTGTGACTATGGTCTCCCAGCCAAGGCCAGGGTGACACCAGGGAGACCACAAAAGTGTTGGTGTCAGGGTCAGCAGAGGGGCTCACGGTCAGTGCCCTTGCCCTGGTCCTTTTGACCTGCCCTGGTCCTCCAGGGCCCCACCTGCCTGGGCTTGGGTTCCCAGTGCTGGCGCGGGTTCCCGAAGCCACCTTTCTGATGAGCCTGCTTCAGCAGAGACCCCGAGACCCCCTCCCTGAACCCTCAGGCATGGCCCCCTGAGTTCCAGCACAACGTCTGCAGCTCCTTGGCATAGCAACTGGCTGTCCTGGCAGGTCGGCCACATATCGGAAGGCTGGTGTGGTGTCCAGGCTCTGTGGGGCCCGATGAGTGAGCCTTGGCTTCACTCTGTGAACCGGGCTGAGCTGAGTGATCATTGAGGTCATTTGGTGCTGCAGGGCCTGACCTTGCCAGGCAGGGCCAGGGCTGGGTTCTGTCGCCAACCCAGAGCAGTGGGCAGACCCTGAGCCTGGCAGCATGACCTCTGTGGGACATGGTGTGGGCCCGTGGCTGTGGATCTCAGGGAGACAGTGACAGCTGGCTGTGCGCTTCCTTTTAGAGTGCGTGGCAGGCCCCAAGGTCGGTGCCATTGTAGGGGGCACTGTGGCTGGCATTGTGCTCATCGGTGTCCTCCTCCTGGCCATCTGGAAGGCCCTGACCCACCTGAGTGACCTCCGGGAATACAGGCGCTTCGAGAAGGAGAGGAACAAGTCCCAGTGGAACAATGTAAGTGGGCCAGGGCTGGGGACGTCCACGCAGGAGGAGTGTGCACACCAACCCGGGCAGCCCATCCCCAAGTGTGGGTGTGCAAGAGTTGCTGCGGGGACTGGAACCTGGGCTGGCCGGCTCTGGCTCGGCCCTGTAAGTGACAGCTCCTGGAGTCCTCTCCCAGGAAACCTTTCTGTGCTCACAAGCCGTGTCTGTGTCTTGCCAGGATAACCCCCTGTTCAAGAGCGCTACTACCACCGTCATGAACCCCAAGTTTGCTGACAGCTAGGAGCATCAGTGAAGACGAGGCCATTGGGATGACCCGATGGGACCCCTCTCAGTGCAGCCCCTCACCCCACCACCAGCACATGGCTTAGGACGCGGGACAGTGTCACCGATGAGCCGAGTCCTCTATGTTTCTCTCGTCCCCAGCATGACAGATAGGCCAGGTGACCCTGCAATCTCATCCTGCGGATCAGCCCCCTTCTCCTCCATCCAGTCATACGAGGGACTCAAGCAGAGAACTCTCCCCAGGTTTCATGAGGCTGAACCATGCCCCTGTGTGAACCTTAGGACAGCAGCCTGATTAAAGGTGGTGCAAATTTATTTATATTTAAACTCACCAGGCTACCAAACTATATCCTCCTGATTATTCTGTTAACCAATCACGTGAATAGAAATAAATGATAAAACCTCATACAGACTGCCCAGGAAAGCTGGGATCTGCGGCGTCCCCACCCAACCATCCCCAGAACTCGGCTGCTGACCGCTGGGTCTGACTGAGTCCTGCTCATCCTCCACACCAGGCGGGTCCGGGTCAGCACTGTGCCTTCTCTTCCTCCTTCCCCTGTTAGTATGTGCACGCTGAGCCCCTCTCCAAATCCTCTGCCCCGTGGTGTTGTGAGCTCATGGAAGGCAGCTGGGAGTGCATTGCTTGTCACCCGAAACCCAGGTCCGTGTGTGCCACTGCACTGGGGTCTCGGGACCACTCCCTTTATGTCACGGGGGTCACCTCAGGTGGCGGCCTGGTGTCTGGTAACCTCATGGACCTGGTTTCTCTGGTCTAGTTTTGCGCTCCTAGTTTAATGTGATAATTCACAGGTGATAATTTTTTGTTTGGAGAGTAAGTTATTAATCATAGCACGTACCATCGCGCTATGTGGCTGGGGTGGGCTCAATAAGTCCTGCGTGTCTGGCACGGCTAGCTCCCTGCCAGCCAAGACAGCCGTTGCCTGTGTCAGCCACCCTCCTGTAGCCGGGGCAGGATACACCACACCCGTAATTTAAAGGAGGAGATGTTTGTCTGGGCTCACAGTTTGTCGTGGCTTATATCTGGACTTGTACCTGGGTGCCTGTGGGTGATGACGAGGTCATGATGAAGCCGTTAATTCTGCACAAACCGAGCTGGAGCCTCACACAGTCAAAGAATGAAGTTGAGGATGAAGGAGGAATCAGAAGAATGTGTATTGGAAATAAGAAGAGAAACAGCTCCCATCGCCGGGAGGGGCTTCCAAGTGCAAGTCCAGTCCTCTTTGTCCTGTTCTCTTGTGGACAAGCAGAGCACGGGAAGAGTCTGTCAGTCCACTCCCCGCAGGGAAACTGAGCTCAAGGATGCCGGTTATTTGCCATTCCTGATGCTCCCAGAAGCGCGGGAGGAAGGAACTGGCAGCTAACTTGGCATACTCCTCGTGAGAAGCGTTAGCCTGGGAGGAAGGGTCCTTATCTCTCCCTGCTTGTCCTAACTTTTTATCCTTTCCCCGAGTTTCTTTTACATTGCTGCATGACTTGAATTAGTGCTGGTCTGACTCTATCTTAGTATCTCAGGCTGCCCCAACAGTCTAGGTAAACGCTAACTCAGCTATTACAATGCGGGCAGAGGACCCCGGAGTGGGCTGAGCATCCTCTAAAAGGGCCCCAAGGGCACCTGCTTGTACCGTCGGCCCTGAGAGGACACAGGAAGGGGCAGTCTGCAGCACAGCGAGTCCACAGCTACATCCGGCCTGCTGGGGACCTTCCCTGCATGTAGGTGACACAGCCTTAGCGTTTTACTTCTAGGTAGGAACAGACTAAGACACCCTGTTCATAAATAAGCACATTTGAAATAGAATTGACAAAGATTTAGAATCAGCCTTTTTTTTTTCTATTAAAAACAAAGTCCTGCCCAGCGTGGTGGCACACTCCTGTAATCCTAGCTCTCGTGGGGGCTGAGACAGGAGGATCGCTGAGTTCAAAGCCAGCCTGGGCTGCATCACGAGTTCAAGGCCAGCCCGGACTACCAAGTGAGACCCTGTCTCAAAACCTCCACCAAAAAAGAAAAATTTAACAAGACTGAGCCATTTTCAGACAGAGCTGGCCTGCCAGTCCGCCTCACCTGCTGCTCTGTAAACGCCCTGCACGGCCCCAGGTCCTCAGACCAGGTGAGCTGCCTCCTAGGTCCACACGGCAACAGCCCACCCGCCCCACACCAGCCCCAAAGCCGTGCAGACGTCCCCTCCTGTGTCCCCAGCAGGAGGCTGGCCGCTCTCATGCCCCCCCCACAGCCCTCCCTCCTCTGAGGCCCTCCGGCCCCCTCCCTTCCTCCCCTTTTTTTTTTCTTTTTCCTTGAGACAGGGCCTCAGTGTAGCTCAGGCTGGCCTCAAGAGCATAGTAAGCCTCCTGCTTCAGCCTCCCCAGTGCTGGAATCAACTGTATCACCCCCACCTTGCCTTCCTATCTTTTTTTTTTTTTTTTTTTGGTTTTGGTTTTTCTCCAGTACTGGGAACCGAACTCACGACCTTGCGCTTGCCAGGCAGGCGCTTTTGCCGCTGAGCTAAATCCCCAGCC